GGCTGCCAGAGGCGCCTGTCTGATTTCAACCTTAAAATTGTAACTAAAACACGTATGTTGTTTAGAGAAATAGAGACCTTGACCTTTACCTTTGGACCTTTAGTGTGAGGTATGTAGGCCACAAGCTCCCACCATATGATAATAACATAACAAGAGAATCACCAGCTGACTCTTAGTTTGAAATAAGTTATTTAACATGTGGTTGTTGTCCAATATTCTTAGCACAATCCATTCAATGTAAATAAGAATTTTTTACAATTTCTTGATGAGAAACACCAGGGCGGATTTCATTTGGGGTGCCAGTTGAGAAGTTCTGTGAACAATTTTTAATTCACTTACATGTAAAATCAATAATGTTGATATGAGATAAGTATAACATTGCTTACTAATTTATGAGGCATTTAATTTGCTTACTAAGAATCATGTCTTATTTAATAGAAGATCCAAGAACAGAAATGAACCTTGCAAGTTAGCTGCACTTGAATTTTTTCTCTTTTTCTATAATTTAAGAAGGGCAGTGTGGCCAGGTGGTTTGAGTGCTGATCTTATAATCTGGTTGTCCTCAGTTCAAGCCCTACCCCCTGCTAATCCCTGGAATTTTTCACCATTGTCCCAAGTTCAACAACTTGGCTATGCTTTTCTGGTTTACCTCCTACCAGTTCAGGCTCTTAAACACTATATTCATGTTCATTTACTCTGTTTATATCCAATTTGTTTGAATTTGTAGACCACAAGTTGATCAGTCTGTGGCTTCAATGATTTTGAGAATATTGTTATTACTATTATCATCACTATCACTATGATCATTATTTCTTCTTAACTCGTTTCTTTTGAATGTTACCAAAGACGGATAATTTACTTTTGCCATTATTTAACTCAAAATACTGGACTTCCTACAAGAGTTTCTGATCTCAACTGAGCCACAACAAATGTATTTGGAAAATCGTAATTGATACTGTGATTGTATTTTTTATGATTTATGATTTTTGATTCTTAATGTTCTAAGTGCTTAATTCTTACTTCACATTTTTTCTGTAAATTATGTCCATATTTTTAAAGTTTAATAAAACTATTATCATCCTTATTATTGTTATCAATACTATTACTATTATACTATTATTACTATTATTATTACTATTATTATTATTACTATTATTATTATCATTATCATTATTTATTATTATTATTATTATTATTTCTCTAACTGCAGTCCACCTGTGAAGATCATTTCTTTACTTGCATTTCATCCACAGGTTAGCAAATTATTGATTTCATTTAATTGTAATAATGAAATATCAAAGTCACCTTCCTATTTTGTTCAAGTAAATAGGCTTTTTAACTAGTAAGTAACTGGTGAGGTTTCATAATACTATCACCAAATACACGGCTAAGAGAGGTTCACAAGCTCTTGCACTCACTCCCTCAATTACTACACCGATTTTTGCTGCAAAAATCTTCCGGCAGGGCTTCACTCATTTGCAATATAACATATTGGTATAGATTTTGTTTGCTATTTACCGGTTGCAGTTGATCTTGATGTCACACGTGGTCTCCATTTTTAGGTTTTCCAGCCTCTATGATGTCATTTTCTCCATCAAAACACCATAAAACAAGAGCCAATAGATACTGAAAGCCAGTTGCAGCTTAGGAATTCGTTGTACTACACATTTTGGTATCGAAATAGGCTGTCTCGGCAGTCAATAAAACTCAAATTTGGCGCCGCCATGTTGGGCTACTTTAACTAGTTTCCAGTGTTTTCCGTCTGACGAAGCAAACGCGTCACGCTACACGCGACATTGCGCGGCAAAACGTGTTGGTCGAGATGAGAGGTACACAACCTCTTTTTCTGATATCTTCTCTGTTTTTTGGAAGTGGCGTTTTTCTTCCTTAAGAAATTAATTAATAGCCTGCCAAATGCTGTTAAAGAGACCCGGATGATTTTGTATGCAGATGATGCTGTTCTATTTTGTGACGCATCAACACGTCAAGAACTTCAAATTGCTCTGGAAGGTGAATTCACTGAAATCAGTAACTGGTATACTGATAACAGGTTGACTATAAATGTCAAGAAGACCAAATTTATGCTGGCAGGCAGTAAAAGGATGCTATCCTTATTTGAAGACTTTGAGTTGCAACCTAATGGTACACAAATCGATCGCGTGCGGTCATTCAAATATCTGGGAGTGACAACGGATGCAAAATGGAGCTGGAAGCCACATATCAGCAATTTGCTAAAAAAATTAGGTCATCGTCTTTCTTTGTTTAATCGCATATTTCACATGTTAGACAATAGAACTCGCATAGCCTTCTACAATGGGCTAGTGCTGCCACACCTAGACTATGCAGACACAGCGTGGAGAGATCAACCCGGTCTAAAATCAGAAATGGAAAAATTGCAAAGTTTTCAGAACAATTTGTGAAGAAAATTAAATTAGTCAAGATGTCTTCTTCAGAAGCTCTGAAGTGTCTGAATTGGCTCCCTCTGGCTGGAAGACGTCTATTTCATCGTTGTACCACCGTAGAAAATGCAATCAAAGGAGACATTCCGCAACATTTTGAAAGTTTTAAATCGACATTGAGAAGTTCGCATGGCTACAACACTAGAAATGGCTACTTACCTAGACTGCCTAAACCTAAAACGGAATGCGGAAAGAGGGTGTCCTACTTCCGTTTTATAAATGACTGGATGTCCCTCCCAGTATTTTTAAGAAGGCCAATGCCATGCACAATTTTTAAGGNTCTGTGACAATTGTATTTCTTATTTTAGCTTTTAATACTTTTTATTTTAACGGAGGACCTCCCTGAAAACCACGTATTTACGTGACGGGCGCTTCCTCCTTAAAGATTGTTTATTATTATTATAATTATTATTATTATTATTATTAGTATTATTATTTCAGTGCTCACGAGCTCACAACTGCACCCTGTCATTAATAATAATAATAATAATAATAATAACGATAATAACAGTAATAATAATAATAATTTTATTAATTTCTATTGCGCAATTATCAATATAAATTTTCAATTTCGCATTATAATCTGATCTTAATACAAATATATAAAAATACAAATGTATATGTAAATTTAAATATATAAATACAAGTAGCACTGGCACCAGCTCAGATTTAGATGCTCTCACTTGGTCATTTGAAATATTTCTTTGCAAATTAATCAGGTCGTATCAAAGCCATATGCAAGTTTGAAAGCTACCAGATTGCAGATTATTTCATACAATCTGATGAACTGGAGGCATAGAATTCCCATATAACAGCGAAAACCACACGAAAGACATCTTTATTCGTATCAATATTCAATTCTCGAAAAGGGATCGCTTAAAATTCTTTTGTCTTCTTATCTTTTTTCATCTTTTAAACTCTAACTGTGGTTCTGAGGTGTCCACAACCAGTTTTTTTTTTCACTCTTTTCTCAACTAAATATCAGTGATGATTTGTTGCTTTTAAGAAACATTCTTTGAATAAATGTCAGATAGGATCATCTGGAAGCAGCCATAACTACCAGAAATCAGTTATGTAATGTTCTGGATTCTAAAAGCGTCGGAAGAGAAATGCGAAGATCGATCTTTTGATGAAGCCGAATCAGTGTCTCTTCACATGGAAAATCGAGCGTTTCGGCATGGTTATGAAGGTATCGAAAAGAATCTAAACTCGTGTTATGAGATAGTTATCGCCGCTGTCGCCGATTTACCGAAGGAGGCTGAGATAATAATTGTCTCTGATTCCTACATGAAACAGGTTCCTCTTGCAACCTAAACGGACGAATGAGGCAAATATCTATCAGAATCATCCAGAATCCGACTTATTTCTTTTCAATCTGCATGACGACCCGTCAGCCCTTTCACGACTGAGTCCTCCACAGTATTATTGTCAGACTAGCGCACTGATAGAAGGTGACCCTGAGGCTAGCGAGGTATTCTACAATACCGTAGATATAAGATTATACCACTATTACCTTGTGTACGAAAAGAGGCAGAGATGGTTGGAAGATCGTGCAAGAAAGCAGGCTTTAATTCAAACAATAGATTTAGCGTGTGATAAATATTGTGGCAAATGGAGACACTGAGAGGGGAGAGTACTCTCTCTCCTAAATTTCCCCCTCCCCCCCCCCAAATTTACTCCACAAGAAAAATACTTTACTTTGGCGATGTCTTACATCTCAAGAATAAAGCTACGCGCGAAACTGGTGGTACTTAGCTGTTCTCACAGTGGGCCATAGTATGGTCACGTGGACAGATTAGAGCCGGGGGAGTTATTGGAATCGCCCGAGCGTTTCCACGGACCCAGTGCCCTCTCAGTGTTAGTGGCACAGAGGGCCCTGGATTACACGGCTACAGAACAGTTCATGACTTGAGATTATTAGTGAAACCAAGCAGTTATAGATTTATTTTTCCAAAACTTTGCACTTAACTGATATTATCTGCAAAGGTGTGTTTGCAAAGGTGAAAACAGTTTATCTTTTCCATCTAACTTTTGACAGGACATTAAGCTTAACATACGCCTCAACAGACGCTCTGTGGCAGAATAATGTAACTTGTATGAAATTTTTGAGAAAGGGAAAAACAATTTTTTTTTTATAAAAGATGTAACATTCCTTGTTCAGTGAATTTTAAGTTACATTGAACAGTTTATAAATTTGAAAGCAAAACTATAAGAGTCCTGAAAGGACGCACATGACACTCTAAAAATAACTATACTTTTGAATTAAAGTAGAATAGAGTAAACAGGTTTAGAATAAACAGGTTCTCTTGGTTCCCTTATATAGCGTCCCCAGTGTTCCAAACTACATAGTCCAAGTCAAAAGTTTTAATCCCAACCATTATGCACAATGGCCACTTAACGGAAGGGCCCTTCCCTTCTTCCCTCACTCTCTCTTTCACCTCTCCCCTTGTAACTTGAATAAAGAGAAATAGCTTATTTTTTCTATTAAACTGGTCGTGGGTTGACCAATGACTAATACCTAAAAAGCCAAAGGAAGCCACACTCAGTAGAATTATTTTATTCACATTTCGCTTAATTACAGAGCATTCGGCCTTCATCGCCAACTGTGTCAGTATCATACACAATACTTACATTATTTGAATCTTAGGTAAGTGGAATACGACCTCATAGTGTGCTCTCTTGCAAAAAATAAAGGCTGTTTTAAATTGTTATGTAACTTGTTGATATTATCCTTTGACGGCTAGAGAAGTCTTCTCTTGTTCAGGCTTATTGTAATCGTTTCCTTTTTCAATCATGTTTAATTTACTAATTGATTGGTTTGAGAAGTGATGCACAATTTTTAATAGATTGAAAACAATATTCTACTATCCGGAGCAATATTCACGCCTTTTATAATCTATTCTATCAAAAATTAAAGAACTAGCCTTCGAATTGAATAACAAAAATTTGCATATTGCGTCTCAACCACTCTCTACAATGTTCGATCGACATTTTTACAAAATTTAACCCTGCAGATAATCCTAGCTCCACAAACTCCTTATTGAGTTCACACATTTCATTTTGTTTGTCTTTTAGTTTAGATATAATCTACAAAACTGAGACTTTTTCTTTGTACGCACGGGATGGCGAATACAACTGAATACTTCACAGAAAGTAATCCTTCACCAAGTGTTCAAGAAAATTACTCATCAAGCAGAATTAATGCGGTGTTTCCGTATCTTTCTTACAAACCAAACATCACAAGTGCAAATTCGATGCAATACAGTTACTTTCACTAAATTACCTATAACGGGTAGAAGCATTTTTAAGAGAGATATCTGCTTTTTCGGTTCCAGCGAAATTTACTTTCACTTTTCGTCTATAAGTTGCGAGACTTACTGACAAAATGAAACCTCAAAGCTTTAACTGCTTCCTCGAATTCCAAAATTTTCTCTGTAGTTTTCCAGATCTTTTAAATATTTAAAGACGAGGTCAAATCAAACATTTCAAGGTACTCTGTCAAGAATCTAGTAAGCTTTAGATAACCCCATGTCACCAGTTTTCATTTACAGCCCTTCATCTTTAGAGCCTAACAATTAGCAGTGCATCGTTATGAATCGTTTGCAAGCAAGGCAAACCTTGCGCGATTTTCCGTTGTCAGACTCTCCGCCTAAGCTTAGGTAACCAACAAATGGCCAGGACATGTCTGCGATTCCGGAATCCCTTTGGTTCCAATTCACCTCTTCTTGAAATATATAGCTAGATGAAGATTCCATGACATGGATGCAAGAGTCACAGACCTTACACTCGCAGATTTCGCAAACACGCGACCAATTCCGGAATAAGGAGAATTTCCTGGACTGACAGCAAAAGCACAGCCTCCCATTAGCTAAATCTTTGTAGAGCTTTTCTTCAGGTTCCAGGGCACCCAAGTCCAACGAAGCCAACGTCTTGCGCACGTGCTTCACTTCCTCGAGGGTCATGTAGATCTTGGACGTAATGGCGAGGTTACGGAGGTTGTAGAGAGAAGGTGGAAACACTGGCTCACATTCTGGGTCGCTCATTTCAAAGCTAGCGAAACTTCTGTTCTTAATGCAGTCCTCGTCATCGAGTGACAGAAAGCTAGAATCACTCGAGTTACTTGCCCTCCTAGTAACGTCTTCAAAAATCTCCTCGGGCTTGCTGAGGAAATTGCCCTCGTTGATGTCTTCCTCATCAGCTATTGTGACTTGTGGTGTTTCCGATCGGCTGATGGTCGGTGATGGGTCTATCTCGACAGTAGACGAGGAATCCCAGCGATTGATCAACTCTGTTAGTTTAATTGTTGGCTTGAGGCATTTGCGTTTAGGTGGTGCTAGATCTGTCTTGTTTAAGGGAACGCCAATCTTCTCTTCGAAGTAGATTTCTCTGACGCTCTTTAAGGTCGGTCGGGGTGTAGGCCTCAACTTCGGCTGTGATCGGATCTCATTCAACAACTTATCAAACGGGCTCGGACTTTTCTTCGGATATTGCTTCATCTTACGAAGGCTCACCTTCGATAACGGCGGCCTGGACCGAATGAACTCCAGAATGACATCATGGGCGTCTTTTTTCACCATGGCACTGATGTCGACGTGGTTCAAAGTGTGGCGTTTGTTGCGAATGTCCTGAAGGAGAATTTCGTAGGGCGACAGCTCGTATGTGATTAGCGGCAATTTAGCGTGATCAACGCGCCGTAAGCTCACCCCCTGTCGTAGCTCTTTCATAACTTGCAGCCATAACTGGGCCCACTCTGCCCCTTGTAAGCTTTGTAAGAACGCCCAGTTTGTCGGTCCTACTCCGCGTCCCCACGTTTGAGCGACGAGAGCGCGTCCATTGCAGAGTTGGTGAAGAAATGCTGATAATTCCACGGCTTCACTGACAAGCGCTCGACACACTGCGCGGAAATGTTCACCCGGGTCGATAATGTCCTTGGGCAGGTGGTTAGCACAGCGATTCAAAACAGCATCCAGCGTGATATCACAGCTCATGATTTCTTGAACCTTTTCGGAGCAATTACTTTCATTTTTTGATGTCAACCTTTCGCGAGGGCTCGGTAGATCAAAGCTCAAGCTGTCTGGAATTGAAACCGCTTCATCAATGTGATCACAGTTGGTCATGTCCACTATGAGTTTTTCGAGTTCTTCGTCGAGTTCACGCTCCACAAACGCCTCCATACTGTAGTCTAGGCACTCATAAACAACGCTTCCCAAGTCGAAAAGGACAGCAGACTCTCGTTGAACCGTGTTCGACTCGTCTATCTTGGTGAAGAAGACACTGCCGTCTTTGCGAATTTCAATCGACGACAGTTGAATGTCGATTTTTTGCTGTCTCAATGCCCCAAAGCTTTCTTTCTGAATGGCGATCACCTCCTTAGTGCTTTGATAACATACAGCCCAAGCTTGTTCTTCACTCAACGGCGCTCGAAAACACTTGAGAATATCGGAGAGAATCATTTCTTCTCTCTGAGATGACATTTCACCGAAACACCTTTCGCGGTGGATAACGAAGGCAAAATATTAAGGTGAGAACAGGAAATTTTTCCGAGTTATGTGGGTGACTGTCGGTGTGGTTTCATTATGAATTCACACTGCGCTCACAGGCATTTACTCTTCTTCTGTCTTATTGGCTGCCGGATAGAAGTGACATCGATAAATATTTCATAACTGGCGGGAATTATATTTACTTCATTAACAGAAGCAGCATAGGATGTTTTTTCTGAAGCGCAAAAAAACCGACAAAATTTTCAGTGAACACCTTTTATTAATTGGCTGTTTGTTATTCGTAGTAAAAATTTGTTTAGCACGGCTCATGTCTCAGAGAAGACGTCGAGGGTTTGTTTTCATACGACACCTCACTGGCCGGAGATAACTTTCAGATTTTGAATACGTAATGCTGCGAATTTGTTTTCAAAGCATTTATCATCTTAAATGTTTGTGACATTTCCCTTCCAACTAGCATGTTGACTTTTCATCTTAAAAGAAACTATCCCAGAGAGCTTTCACTCAATTTCCAAGTAGTATTTGTAAACAGTCTATGAGAAATTTCCTCTTATCAGTTCCCTCTTACCATGAGTCAGCTTTATTCTTGGATTTCCAGATCGACTATGATAGGGCGCAAAATTTACCTTTTAAATTGCGGCGACGAAAAACAATCGGCCCAAAACTTAAAAGAAAGGCTCTGTTATTTTTTTGCCAAGATTGTACAATTACTATGCAAATTCCTCGCCTACACAACTCTTAAGTCGCCATGTTTTAGTCAGTTTATCCGGTCAATTAAGATTGCTTTCTCCTTTCAGGTTATTTCACTGCATTGAAATTCAAATCTGTCAAAAGAAAAGCGAAATGAATGATAATAATACGATGTGTAGGTGTTTCTGTTTATGAAAATACCTTTTCGTTCTAAAGAAAGATAAAGACGGTCGATTTTTTTTGTCTCCATCTGCAGGGCTTTCTGTTTTTTTGCAAAAAAGGTCATGTTATAAAAAAAAATGTTAGTTATCGGTGAAGGTTAATTTATCAGGATTTATACAAAAAAATATATTCACTTAGTCAAAGATAATCAATTGAGCTATGATCTCATGGCATTTGAAGGCAGTTTAATCTACATCCTGCCGACCTGAAAGGCGCAGACACGTCCGTCAAATTGTTTTAATGGACGATCGACAAATGCCGACAGAACTTAATGACTGAATCACTTCTCTCACCTTTGTTTTCATTTTTCATTATCTTTCAAGTTGAGTTTAGTGCAACTCGACCAGAAAACCTTCCTACGAGAGTAATTTCACTTTTCATTTTTTCACATTTTTCCTGTCCTTTTCAGCATGCCAATTTTGATCCAAGGCTCAGTGTTTCCAATGAGACATCATTGTGAACGCGAGCAGTGATAAAGTTCAAGAGAGAAATTGGTATCACCTTTGAAAAACTTGACAAAAAGATACGCAATTATCATCAGAACCGATATTGCACAGCAGCTGCAGCTGATATTAGCCAAAATTTGGATTTTTGGATTTTCTCAAACACTTCCCACATATGGAAAAAAAAATCTACAGCACTTCATTGAAGAAAGGAAAACTACAGCGTCTCGTTAACTCTGAACATCTCTCATGAGTATAACTCTCTCTTGATTTCTATCATTGGTTGAAATAGTTTTAACTCATCGTCGTCAAACAATGATGAGTTTGTAAGTTGTCTTCATTAGAGACTAACGATAAATAACTGAAAAAGGTTTTCACGGGTGTTGAAGTGGCGCTTTATTAAGCTTTATCGAAATAAGAAATGATTTTCTCAACTGATCCTATATGAGAAGAATCGAAAATTTAAAGACGTTTTAACGCGCTGCATTTGTTGCACTTGACAATTTCCTCAATTCGATCGCCTGCGCAGCTTTTTCTCAGAAAACGTAATTAAATCAACTTCAGAATATAATCTAATTGTCTAAAAATGTTTTAATTGAAGACTAAAACGTTCAGCCAACCCAAACATCACATTAGGTGCAAGAAAAGTTAAGACTCAGAGCTATATCTTAACTGAAAATAATCCTTAAGAGAAAGAAAATCAAATATATAACATTATTTCTTGCTGCAATTGCCCCTTTTCCACCTTCACTGCAAAGGAGAACTTGTCTATGGAAAATTGTAAGGGTAAACTTAATGATGTAAATGAGGATTAAGAGTAAAACAAGCCAAAACAGATAAAAACTTTGTTTTTTCAATAGTTCTTCCTTATTAGAAGTACGCGGTAATCGATGGAAAACAAAGGCTATGGAATCAACGCATGCGTGGTGATCACCGGGCGTAATTCTAGACTGAAGGACTTCCTTGATCGTCATAACCATTAAGTAAACAAATACCGATAAATCACTGCTCCCACT